ACCCCCATCCCTATACATTACACCTTGCACACCCAGCCCTACTCCCTGCAGCCCCTATACATTGTGCCCAGCCCACACAGCTCTCCGTGTTGCCCCCTATACCCTACCCATACATCCTGCACGCTGCACACCCGGTCCTGTGCACTCAGACAGCCCTTGCACGCCCCTTGCACGCACGGACACGCTCACGCCCGCTTTGCACAAGAACCCCCCCCTGCAGACAGGGTCCCTGTGTGCAGCACCGGGCGGAGGGCAGCCACGGCCCTGGGTGGTCCCAGCTCCACGCGGTGCACAGGACCTACGGAGTAACCCCAGCCCATCATCCCTGTGCTGCACCAGTTTCACCAGCATTGCCTACTGCTGAAGAAACACATTGGCTCCTACGACATCTGCTGCAGGATGGTCACCACGGGCTGTCTCATGGCAGTCCTGCTGTCCTGTTTCGTCTACCTGGTGATCATCCCCTTGTGGTCCATCACCACAGCGATGATGTGCATGTATCCTTGGCCTGGGGAGGCAGAGGCCTGCCCCGGCACGCATGCACACGTGCTGCACCACCCAGGCTGTCACATGCAGGAGCCTATTCCCCTGCCTGTGTGTGCCCACTGCACGGGGACACACAGTGGACCCCTTTGACCAGCCCACCTGTGTCTGTTTGTCCTTAACTCACTGCTCCAGCATCATGACGACCCTCCTTGCCTTTGTCTGCCTGAGCCTGATTGAGCCCTGGGTCCCCTGCATCCCCCAAGCACAGCACGCCCCATGGTGCCAGGTACGGCTGCAGGGCATGGAGCATCTCGCCAGCTCGGGAGAGGGATTTAGGACATGGTTGGACCCCAAGCTCAGATCAGGGGGGCAGCCCCACGTATCGATGCTCTGCATGAGTTGGTCCCACCGCGCATGCCTACACGTGCACGGGGGGCTCCATCGCTGCACACACTCCCCTCTCAGTGCCAGACTCACCGGTGACACCCAGCAGCAGTGACCCACTGCACCAAGCCCCCAGACCCACCACCATGGCCAAGCCCACCCAGTCCTACCCAGTATGGGGGCAGGACACGTCCGTCACACCGTCCTGCTGTGGGTGGTGCATTGTGGGGCTGGGTGTCACCTGTGGGGCTGAGTGTCACCACCCCAGAGCTGCCCCACGGTGATACACAGGGCTCTCGCCGCTGCAGCCCACGGCAGAGATGGGTGTGGAGAAGGAAAATGCAGTGGGATGGGGTAGCCCAGGGTCCCCCCAAATTCTCCTCTTATTCCAGCTCCTGTCCATGCTTGGGATGGGTGGTCCTCGGCCCACCAGGGTCCATGGCCACCCTTCTCCCCCCAGTCACCCTTCTCCACACAGGCTGCTACTACCACGGCCAAAAGCTGGCAGGACTGGCAGCAGCCAACGGCAGGTGAGCATCCCCTGGCACGGGCAGGACAGAGGAGCCACGCAAGGCTCCGGGCAAACCCCACCAACCAGCTCAACCTCAGCCCCAGACCCCTGGGATGCTC